CTGGCCAAGGACACCCCTCTCCCTGTCTTGATGAAAGAATGCTGTGCAACAAGGGAAAGCTTTCTCACAAGACAGGAGCTTACTAAGGAATTGGGAGGCTTCCAGAGATGTGATCTAAGCGCTGGGGCCTGAGCAGCCCAGCTCTGTGTAGCTGTACCAGGGAGAGAGATGATGGTCATGCTGAGGCCCATGCATGAATAACTGCTAGGCACAGTGTCCTTGGACTGGGGAGTGGTTGTCAGAGACAGTGTTTCTGAGACTAGGTAGAAATTGGGGCACAAGTACAAGCACAAGCGCCCGAGCACCCCATCATTACAGGTCAGAGATCACACAAACAAACCAGGTGTGCTGGTCTCTGGTATAAACATAATTATCTAAAGCAATTATATTGCAAGCTTTCTTACCCATTTGCGTTGGAGGTACGGGCTATGCTGAGCTATGCAAAAGTACATTTCACTATTATTTAGATTTAGGAGGAAAGAGGTCTGGGGCAAGGTTAAGCACTAACTTTTGCTTTCCATGGCTTAAAGGGCCATATTACCTAAATGGCAAAATAATGTTCTGCATTACAAAGACACTTCATCTCTCAGCTCTAGGCATATTCTCTGGCTGTCCTCATGCCTAGAATGCTATTCCTCTTTACCTCCACCTATTGGCTTCTGAAGCTTCCTTCAAGTGCCAACTAAAATCCCATTTTCTCCAGGAAGCCTTTCCCAACCCCTCTTAATTCTAGTGCCTTCTCTCTTTTAATCATTTCCCATTTATCCTGTATATACTTTGTACATATTTGTTTGCTTATTGTCTCCCCCATTAGATTGTGAGTCTCTTGAGGATAAGGGCTATCTTTATGTATAGCCAGGGCTTAGCACAGTGCCTGCCACATAGTATGTGCTTAATAAATGTTTACTGGCTTGCCTGACTGATTTGTGTGTTTGTAAAGGGATCCAGTATCTCTAGGTATGAGACCATGCTAGTCCTAGTAGGCAATTCAGAATTAGCCTGTAGTTCTGGGTAGGGCCATTTTCTTTGATCTATGATGTGTACTGCTTCATTTCTCAGAACTGGAATAACAATTGAGACCTATATAATGGTAAAAGATATTAGCACATCTCCTTGAATGTGTGTGAATACCAAGAGTGATTTTGTGCATTATTAATAAACCCAGCAGTTAGCCCAAACTAAATATGGTTAGTTAAGTTTTATCCCCCGTAAGTATCCCTTGAAATCCATTCTTACAAATTTTCCAGTTTAGTGCCTGTCCCCTAGATTGCCCCACACCTCTGATTTATTCTCTTTCCGGTCTTTCCTGTTTGACTCTGGATGCTTCAATCTGCCTCTCAGTCCCTAAATTTGAAGTCTTCTGGTCATTCTCAACTCTAGTTCACCTTTACCTCCTCATAGTCTTAGATCATAGATTTTAGAATTTGTGAACAGTAAGGAACTTTAGAGAATATTTAGTCTACAGGTGGGAAGCCTGCAGTCCTCAAGTGCCACCCTTCAACTGAATCCAAACTTCACAGAACAAATCCCCTTAATAATAGAATTTGTTCTGTAAAACTGTCAAAAAGCCACACCCAAGGACCAAGAAGACCACATGTGCCCTTGAGGCCTAAGGTTTCCACTCCTGATCTAGGCCAATCTCATTTACAGATGAGGAAACATCTCTAAATGACACAAAAAAGTCTTAAAATCTCAGTCTTAAGGCAGTTGCCTTAAGATTAAACTCTATAGAGTTTATATTTGCAAACTAGTTTGAGATTATCATAAAATTTATATGACACTAAATATAAATAAAATTTATTATGTCAAAGAAGTCCTTTGAAAAGTACAACCCAGGGAGTAAAAGCAGTGACTTCCTTGAGCTCTCCCCCAAACCCCTCCAAATACATATCAAAAATGGCTCTAAACAAATTCTAAAGGAGCAGAACCCACAAAAAGACAAAATGAAACAAATTTCTAGCCCAAGACAACCTAGATGGTTGATCAGAAATGTATACTGTGTTGGACTGGGAGCTGAGTGCAGTGCAGCATGGGCGAGCAGGCCACAGTGAACCTGGAACAGGCCTCAAAGGACCGAATTGCAGGAGTTGTGGTGGTTTCCAGAACTCTCATCCCACGAACACCAAAGACAGCTTAGGAGGTCAGTGGGAAAAGCCTGTGTCTGTGGTGAGAGAGAGAAGCATGGTGGTCTGAGCTCCAGTCCCTGAGCTCAGCTGGGGAGTGGTGGCTGCCTCCTAAGCTTCTGGCCCACACACTGAGGGGGAATTAAGTGGCTGATCAGAGGGGGATTGCAGGGGTCTCTCTGCGGGTGCAGGATTCTCTTGCTTTGCCTGTGCTTGGATCTGGGTCACAGTTCTGGGTGGTGGTCCTGGGGCAAGGAGGAGCTCTGGCTTGGTGGAGCTTGTAGTGGCTATGAAAGAGAAAATCCTTCTCACAGTTCCAAGGCAGAAAAAAGTGCTTGTGGTCACTCATAGACCAGAGCACAGGCCAGGAAAGGAGTAAACACCTTACCCCTTATCATACCACCATGGAAGAGCTGAAAATTTACAGGTCCCTAGAAGTATCTCTGAAAACAGCTGCACAAAACCCCTGAAGCTTGGGACAGTACATTCTCCACACTGGAAACAGACCCCTACCTTAAAGAAGAGTTTATAACTCAAGTAATTGGCTGGGATCATAAGTAAGCAGCACAAAAAGAGTCAGACTATATTATCTTACTTTGGTGACAAAGAAGATCAAAACATACAACCAGAAGAACACAACAAAGCAGGAAGCTCCTACATCCAAAGCCTCCAAGAAAAATATGAATTGGTCCCAGGCCATGGAAGAGCTCAAAAAGGATTTTGAGAATCAAGAGAAGTAGAGGAAAAACTGAGAGTGATGCTAAAGGAGATCCAAAAAAATACTGAAGAAAATAACACCTTAAAAAATAGCCTAACCCAAATGGCAAAAGAGGTCCAAAAAGCCAATGAGGAGAAGAATTCCCTAAAAAGCAAAATTGGCCAAATGGAAAAGGAAGTCCAAAAGCTTACTGAAGAAAATATTTCCTTAAAAATTAGAATGGAGCAATTGGAAGTTAGTGACTTTATGAGAAATCAAGGCATTGTAAAACTAATCCAAAAGAATGAAAAAATAGAAAAGAATGTGAAATATCTCATTGGAAAAACAACTGACCTGGAAAATAGATCCAGTAGAGAGAATTTAAAAATTATTGGACTATCTGAAAGCCACGATCAAAACAAGAGCCTAGACACCATCTTTCAAGAAATTATCAAGGAAAACTGCCCTGATATTTTAGAACCAGAGGGCAAAATAGAAATTGAAAGAATCCACTGATCACCTCCTGAAAGAGATTCCCCAAAGGAAAACTCCTAGGAATATTGCAGCCAAATTCCAGAATTCCCAGGTCAAGGAGAAAATATTGTAGGCAACCAGAAAGAAACAATTCAAGTATTGTGGAAACACAATCAGGATAACACAATATTTAGCAGCTTCTACATTAAGGGATGGCAGGGCATGGAGTATGATATTCTGGAGGGCAAAGGAGATAGGATTACAACCAAGAATCACCTACTCAGCAAAACTGAGTAAAAAATGGTCATTTAGTGAAATACAGGACTTTTAAGCATTCTTGAGGAAAAGACCAGAGCTGAATAGAAAATTTGACTTTCAAATACAAGACTCAAGTGAAACATGGAAGAGGTAAACAGGAAAAATAAATCATAAGAGACTTATTAAGGTTGACTGTTTATATTCCTGCATGGAAAGATGATATTTGTAATTCATGAGTCCTTTGTCAGTATTAGAGTAGTGGGAGAGAAAAAATTATATATGTATATAGGTAGATAGATAGATAGAGGGCACAGGGTTAGTTGAAGATGAAGGGGTGATATCTGGTAAATAAAATTAAGGGGTGAGAGAGGATTATACTGGGAGAAGGAGAAAGGGAGAAGTAGAATGGGGTAAATTATCTCACACGAAACAGACAAGAAATGGCTTTTCCAGTGGAGGGGAAATGGGGGAAGCTGAGAGGGAATGAGTGAATCTTTTTCTCATAGGATGTGGCTTAAGGAGGGAATAACATACACAATGGGGTATGGAAATCTATCTTACCCTACAGGAAAATAAGGGGGGAAGGGGACAAGAGAGCAGGGGGTTGATAGAAGGGAGGGCATATTGGGGGAGAGGATAATCAGAAGTAAACACTTCTGAGGAGGGACAGGGTCAAAAGAGAGCATAGAATAAATGGGTTGAATAGGATGAAGGGAAATAGGCTTAGTTTTTCCATAACGTGACTATGGAGGTGTTTTGCATGACTACATAGCTATAACCTGTATCGAGATACTTACTTTTTTCAATGAGGGTGGGTGGAGAGGGAAGAAGGGAGAAAATTTGTAACACAAAGTTTTAGAAAGACATGTTAAAAAAATTAATTGTTTTTAAAAAAAGAAAACAAAAAGAGAGAAAATACGACCCAGAGGATGAAAGATTTAGAGGTAGAAGAGACCTTGGAGCTCCTCTCCTCAAACTCCCTCATTCTAAAGATGAAGAAACTAAAGACCAGAGAAGTTAAGGGATTTGTGCAAGGTTACACAGCTTGTAATGACTGGATTCAAATCCAGGTCTTCTAACCCAAATCTATGATGCTTTCTACCACACCAGGCTAATGACTGGTAGTGAAGCATGAAGCATCATGAATATGAGAAGATCTGAATATTTGTAACATCTGAGCTTGGTTGGGATTTCCTTGAGAGTAGTAAAATATTTTGCTCACATCAGCTATGTACTGCCTCCCGTCTGACTTTTTAAAAATAGGCACACACTTCTTGGTGTGGTTACTGGTCTTTGCTTTGTTTTTGTGGTAGCAGAAACTATTCGACAATGATAGCCACAGCAGTCACAGCTTCCCACGAGCTAGAAGTCTGTGGTTCACAGAACTGCTACTACTGCTTCGGACCCAACAGGAAGGAAAGAGAAGAGTCAGTTTCTCAAACCAAAAAGCAAGAGAGACTTCCTCATCTTCAGGGCATGCTACCCTGGGCTCTACTCCTAAGGTACATCAAAAGGTAGGACAGGCATTTTCAGTCTAATTTAACAACTTTCTTGCAGAGACTGTTTCCGTAAAATCTTCAGTTTGCTGAGCTGGTAAAAGGGGAGGCAATATAAGTTGGGGACTTGAATATGTAGTAGGTTAGGTGGGAGATAAAGTGATGTCCTAAAAACATGGCTAGTATTGGACTCACAAGGCCTGGGCTTGAATCCTAAAAATGTCCTTATATTTTATCTTACAAAGTAAAAAATAAGATGGAAAAAGGAGAGTTAAAATTATATGGAAGAAGTGACAGCACCCTGGTAGAGTGGAAAGTGCCTTGGCTCTGGTTAGCAAACCTGGGTTCAAATCCCACATCTGACCTTTGAGTACCTGTGTGATCTTGAGCAAATTACTTAATCTGCATAGGCATCAGCTTTCCCATCCTAGAATGGATGTAAGTGGATTTCATGACTTCTGAGATTCCTTCCCTATCTATGCTCTTCTGAAGTACATACTTATAAAATTAAGTGTAGCTGTAGGTGAAAAAGGTGTTAACACAATATTATTGTGTAGTTCTTTGGTTTCTAGGCCTTGATGGATTTTATTATTGAATATTCAGGAATCAGTCAACTTCATTGTATTCTTCTCTTCTAGAGGTTTTATAAATGCCCAGGATTTGTGTGTGTGTGAGTGATGTGTGTGTATATATATATGTATATATATACACACACACGCACACACATATATATGGTTGTGTGTGTGTATGTGTATATATATATGTGCATTATATATATGTATATATATGTATATATATATGTATGTGTGTATATATATGTATGTGTGTATATATATATGTATGTGTATATATATATGGTTCAAATCCTGACTATCTTTGTTATCACCTGTGTGACAGGCAAATCACTTAACCTCTGAAACCTATGATAGAATACACAATTTTAAGGACCAGAGTTTGTTATTTTTTTTAATTATCAAAGAACTGGCATTTACCTCCTAAATTTGTTTCAGTATTGATATAACTCTCCTTCATACCAACCCCTCTGCCATATTTCTTAACAGGGGAGAGAAGGAAAAAAGAAGAGTAAGGAAAATGGAAAAAAAAAAGATTAAAACTTAGAAATTTATTTAAAAAATTGAGAAACATCATGTTATAGTAGAGGGTCAACCTCAGGAAAACCTGGGTTCAAGTTCTGGCTCTAACCGTGGGTGAGTTACCTAACCTCTAGGTTGGCTCCAGATAATTCTTTAAGCTCCTCTAATGGGTGGAAACCTGCTGCCTCAAGAACACGTGTGGCCTTCTAGGTCCTTGGGTGTGGCCTTTTGACTGAGTCTAGGTTTTACAGAATAAATCCTTTAATTAAGGGGATTTGTTCTGTGAAGTTTGGATTTAGTCAAAGGGCTGCACTTGAGGACCTAGAGGATCACATGTGGCCTCCAGGCTGTAGGTTCCCCACCCTTATCTAAGTCGTAGATGATTTGCTGATCTGTGATGGTGTAATTGTGTTGCTTTCAGTAATGCAATTGTAAATCTGAACTGAAACAAATAATTTTGAGATAAAAGTTAGAAACTGTCTTGAAAAAATTCTTCAATTACTTCCATAGACCTATGAAAAACTATAGACACATTTGCAACTAACTTTACTTGTAGAAAGTTTCCCATCAAGTTTGTCTGTCTTTAAGCTAAAATTACAGCTTATAAGTAAATGGAAATCTGTACATTTTAGCTGCTCTAAGAGCATTTTGTCTTCTATCTCCTCAGTTTTTTTATGATTCTCAAACAGCAATATGCTTAGTTGAATGAGAAAGGGTGTGAGTGTCTTAGGAAACAAATGTCTTTTCAAAATGTCCCCTAATCATATCATGTTACCCAAACTAAAACCTCCATGAAGTTATTTAAAACTCTAGAGGTATACTTTGTAGATATTCTCTCTTCCTTTGGATTTTATAATTCTGCTCTCTCCTAATACAGGTTTCCTCCTGATCACCTGACTAGTCCTTCTTAGTCTCCCATGCACAATTGTCATCTACACCCTACCACACTAATCAGGATACAAATACAGGGCATAGCTGTATGTGTATTTGTGATGTGTTGTCTTTGGAAAACATCACCTGGAATACAAAAAAAAAATCCCCTTTTTAGTGCATAAGCTTGAAGAGAGAGATTTTATCTTAGTTGGGTTTGGAACTTTGGGGTTATGGGATTTCAAAGAAAAGAGTTTTTAACTGGTTATCTTCTTCTGGCTTAGTTGGTTGAGCATTCAAGGACTCCATTAACCAAATTTATAGAAAGCCAAAGATGATGCATATCAATTACTGGTAACATGTAAAGGCCAATTTAGTCATTCAAAATTTCCCCAGAACTCTGAAACTGTAAGTCAGTGGTATGATTGTGTTCTCCAACAGCAAAGACTCTCACAGAAGTGATTGTGGTGAACAACCGTCTTAAGGAGTGGGTGGCCATTTCTCTGAAGTGATCTGCCCTAGGAGTGGACTTGAGGTTGTGGGTTTGTGCTCTTTGAGAGTACATTGTAATTTCCCTCAAAGGCCTAGGCAGCAGTAAAATTTAATTATTTATGCAATTCTGCTCCAGTTTGTTCTTTCTCAATTTCAATGTAATTATTTTCTCTAACTTCCTGTGTCACACTTTCTTTTCCCTCAGTCTAATTTTTTGTATGTAATAGATCCATTGGATGAAAAGAATGGGAAACTACTTCCTGAGAATGTAAGAACGTTGTTCCCACTCCCACTTTTCCTGCTTCCAGCCCTGACATTTTCTCCAATTTGTCAAATCAGGCATTCCAAGTAAAGGTGGGCTATTATATGTATGGTAAGGGAATCTGGGGATCCAATTTGCCATTTAATCAGTGAGAAACCGCCCACGCAGCTCAACAAGTCTTAGAGAAAGCTGCCTGGGCTCCTGAAAGGTTGAATGATGTCCACATTTTCTTAAAGCTAGTTTGTATGACTTGAATCCAGGCCTTTCTGTCGCTTAGTAAAACATTCACTATCTTCTACCTCCTTCTAGCTGAACAAAATTTTGTTACAGTTTCAAAATTCTACCATGTGACTGGATGTAGTGCCACATATTCCTCCAAATACAGTTTAAGTATCCCTGGTTTCCTCCAAAGAATAGCTCAGGAATATGTCCCTTCATGGACTTTTCATGATTCCCTCATTTGCTGGCACCCTTTCCTTTTGGAAGTTATTTTGTATTACTTTGAATATACCATGTATTTCCTTACATATATGCATGTTGTATCCCTCCAGTAAAATGAAAGTTCCTTGAGGGAAGAAACTTTTTTTAAATTTTTGTTTCCCCCTGTACCTTGCACATAGTAGGTCCTCAGAAATATTTATTAAACTGAATCTTTGTTAAATAACTGGGGAAAGAAAGGTAAAAAGAAAAATGGAAAAGGAAAATGGCCACTGTCCTAAAATGCTCCTTCCCTGCCTCTTCTTCCACTTCCTCCCACTTCCCTCCTCCCACCCTGATTAGCTCACTTGGAACTTGACTTCTGCCTGTATCCCTACTTTCTATTTACAGATTTGTGCCTGACTACTGAAGTCTTTACTTCCTACATAAACTATAACTATGAAATTATTTAACCTGCTTTCTGTCTAACCTTAGCCACTTTGCCAGCTTCATTGGAAGTAGAGAATGGAGGTAAAATATTTCTTTACCCCCATGCTTTAAAAACCCCCACAACATCCCTTGTTTTTATATCAACTCCATTTTCCAACATATTCTTTTCCCAACCAGAGACCAATTATTCTAACAAAAACTAAAATGTCAGGGGAAAAAACCAGTTCATCACAACTACTACACATCAACTGCTTATGATAATGTATGTAATGTTCCACATTCATAGTCTCCCACTTTGCAAAGATTGGAGGGAGAGGACATTCTTATATCTCTCCTTTGGGGCTATGCTTGGTCATTATAATTTCAGAACATTTGGTTTCCATTTTTTTTGTACTTTCCATTTATAGTGTTGCAATCATAGTGTATATTGCTGTGCTCTCCATAGTCATTATTTCTTATGGTGCAGTAATATTCTATGACATTCATGTACCACAATTAATTAATCAATGAATACCATTTTGTTTTGTTTTGTTTTAGTTTTGTTTGGTTTTGGTAGTGATTTTTTTTGTTTTGTGTTGCTAGTACTTAAAGAACTGCTATAAATATTTTTGTATATATGAGACTTTTCTGCCTTTGACTTCTCTAGGGTATATGTCTAGCAATGGAGACTTAGCCATTTCTACTCAGCCTCAGTGTTGGTGAGACCTTCATTCCCAGCTCCAAAAACACTCTCCTTGGTATTCCTATAGTACTTAGTATAGCTCACTAATTACAACTTAGTTTATTATTCACTGTCCCCAGGAAGACTTTCTTGACTTCAAAAATGTTCTAAACCATGAAGCAGAGCGATACAACCAAAAAGCCTGGATTTCATGTCAGGAACCCTGGATTTGATTACTGAGAGCTACTTATGTAATCTCAGGCAAGTCATTTAACCTCTATGGAGCTCATTTTTCAAAAAGAAAACATGATTCTACTTTGTTTTTAAAGAAATACTGCTGGAATACTGTAGATGATTATGATTCTGAAGGATATCAAGAAAAATAAAACACAGATAAAGAAATTTCATAGGAGTACAACAAAATTGCTTCAAATGATGGGAAAGCAAAGCTTTAACTTTAAAAAAAGAGTATGATCCAGAGGTGATCCAGGCTTTGTCCCAGGGCACTGACATGTAAATAGTAGTTATACACACACACACACACACACATATACATATATACACACACACACACATATATATATATATATATATGTATATATATATATATTCATGATAGGTACATCCATCATTAAAGGATACTAGGGTATTTTTATACAAATTGATCATCTTTTAAATTTGACAATGGTTGTGCCCTCCCACAATTTATTCACTGTTGTCCATATATATATACATATACATATATATATATACATATACATATATATATATA